ATCCAAACACATAAGAGATACATTTAAGCGACTTGATCCCCTAAAGTCTCTTTCAACAGCAGGCAAACAGGATGCAGGGAAACTACCAAAGGTGGTGGGTTCTAGAGCTGCATATTTTTCCACAATAATTTATGGCCGGCGTAAGAGCCATAGTTCAATCTGCAAGGAGGTTATTCTGAAATCTGCAAAGACTAAGCATCCTGGAACCAGATAATACATGTGACGATATGAATTAATGAAATCTTCCACAATTTTTCAAAAGGACCAAGAGCAGGTTAAGTTAACTAATGAGCTATACTGTACTACTTACTACACACCATCAACATGAACGGATCAGCTAATATCAGAAAAGCACACAAGGCTTAGCTTTTACAAGCACAGCCATGGCCAACACACTCCCACTTCCACGATGCAAGGCTGGGTGAAGAGAAGGAAGCAGAATTTCAGTCCTCACTCGGGCCCTTGGCCAGGTGCCACCGTACATGGTGCAAGTACACAACCTACATTAAAGCCCTGGGTTCGGGAAAGTGTCTGTGAAATGCAGCTAATGGAAAAAATAATACATATTTAAACCACACATCTAACTCCTAGAGAACCTTAGAGCAATCAATCTTTTTTAAATAAGAAAGAAACTAAGTCAATAGCATCTGAGCAACAGATGAAAATTAAAGCAAAATCTCTTGGCTGATGGTAACAGCTTTTGTGTTCTTTGTTGTTGAAAATGTGCATGTAGCAGGAGCTCCAATATGCTCCCAAAGTCAGATGCAAAAGGCTATGGAAAACAGTTGCTATTTTTACACCGGAGATAAAATCAAACACCACCTTTCAGATCTTCATTTTGCTGAAATAGTAGAAAGGAACAAACCTCCGAGTGGCTAGATGTTTAAAGGATCTAGGAGGCCCTGTGATTTCTAACAGAGGAAAGTAAAGTGAGTATAAAACAGCAACAAGAAAAGCCAGCTCTGTGTTATGGGCAACGGAGCACGAACCTGCAGAACCCAAACATCTGAAATAAAATATAAAGTTAAGGCTTAATTTAGTAATAGTCTAGAAAATGGGAAGCTCTGACAGTTTTTTATATTTATAGACTGCTCTAGGTAAACCTTTATAGTTTAACACCTTAAAGAGGAAATTTTTTTCCTTATAAATTACTACGACATTATAGAAGTAGTAATAATTATGATAATAATTATATTAGTTTTCTATTGATGCTGTGAAAAATACGACAAATTTAGTGGCTTAAACAATAAAACAAAAATGGGCTGAAGTTAAGAGGTTGGCAGGCCTTTCTGGAGGCTCTCTAGAGAATCCGTTTCCTTGATCTTTCCAGCTTCCAGAGGCTGCCCACATTCTTTGACTTGTGGCCTCCTCCCTCAATCTCAAAGCCAGTAAATATGTATATTGCACTTCTCTATACCTTTCTTCCATAGTCACATCTTCCTTTTCTAATTTTAAGGCTCCTTGTGATTACATTGGGCCCACTGGGGAAAATCCAGGAACATCACCTTATCTGGAAGTCAGCTGATCAGCAACCTTACTTCTCTTGTGCCAGGCAACACAACATACTCACCAGGTACCAGGGACTGAAACATGTATGTCTTTAGGTGACCATTATTCTGCTCACCACAATAATTAATGTGTATGGAATATTTATTATTTGCCAGTCTTATTCTAAGCACATTATATGTAATTAAACAAATATAGTACTCATAATAATGGTAGATCCTATTATGATTCCTATTTTTCAGATGAGAAGACTGAGGCACAAAGAGATTAAATCACTTCCTCAATGCTACTTAGACAGAAAGTAGAAGAGCCAGGCCTGAACTCAGAGTCCACATGCAGAGCCTATACTTTTAACCTCTGAAATCCATAGCCTGCAAATTCAGGTGATCATAATCATTACTGGGAAAAGGGCAACTTTAAAATTCAAAATGTCAAAAGGAAAGAGAGTCTAACAAGATCACAAAGAAAAATAGACCAATGTCTATCAAGAGATTTGTCTACTAGTATCGGTNACTGGTATCGGCATTATTTGTGTTCCCTAAATGTCACTATATATAATATATACAGGACAAAAGTAGGTGGGGCAAAAGTAGGTTTACAGTTGTATGTGAAACACAGAATTTATTCTACTTATTATTTAGTNGTGGGGCAAAAGTAGGTTTACAGTTGTATGTGAAACACAGAGTTTATTCTATTTATTATTTAGNGACAAAAGTAGGTGGGGCAAAAGTAGGTTTACAGTTGTATGTGAAACACAGAATTTATTCTACTTATTATTTAGTAATTATTATATTATTTTCCATATGAACTGTAAACCTACTTTTGCCCCACCCTGTATATGTGTGTGTATATATGTGTGTGTATGTATGTGTGTATATATGTATATATATATAGAACAGAGTGTACATCTATACATATATATATAAATAAAATAACAGATATCAAATGGAACTTTCTGTTTCTGTCTGAAATTTCAGTCCCAGATCCAAATACTGAGAACAACTGATGACAAATACCACTCAGCATCTTTAAAAGAGATACCTCCTAAGCGTTTAATATGAGGGCCAAACTGATTCATCAGCTCTCACCTCCTATCATTCACCGTCAGTCCATGGGAAAGAGGGTAGAGAATGAGAGAGATGTTTGTTGTGATGNTTAAAAGAGATACCTCCTAAGCGTTTAATATGAGGGCCAAACTGATTCATCAGCTCTCACCTCCTATCATTCACCGTCAGTCCATGGGAAAGAGGGTAGAAAATGAGAGAGATGTTTGTTGTGATAAGAAATTATAAGAGTAAAGCAAGTAATGGACAGAGGTGTTTCCATCTCTCACCCCAACAAAATAAATGAGGAGGCTACAGGAANCAACAAAAGAAATGAGGAGGCTACAGGAAATCCCTTCAGAGAATTTGAAGCCAATTGCACGAAAGGGGACTGTCATCCCACTTCCCACCTGTTTGCTTGGTGACTTGCAAGCATTTACTGACCTTCCCCAGCATGAGAGCATTCTTGGCACATGGTCTTCAAGTTGCGGGGNTGTCTGCTTGGTGACTTGCAAGCATTTACTGACCTTCCCAGCATGAGAGCATTCTTGGCACGTGGCCTTCGAGTTGGGGAAGCAAAGAGTCTTGGTTGACTCTGCCTGGAAGAATTCTGAAGGTGCCAGGCTGGTTGGGGCATCCCTGTGACAGGGTGAGGAGGGAAGGGAGCAGGGGCACCAGGCTGTATTTCTGTCATTCAGAGGCATAAGAGATCATAACTCCAGTGAGCAGAGTAGATGCTGTAGAAGGAAGTTAGACTAAAGCCATCTCCAACTGCAGTGTACTAGCTGGGCTAAGGTCACTCCAGGGCTGTGTTGTCTGCAACCAGAGGGTCTCAGGAAGTCAGTGAGAAAATGAAACTCCCACATCAATGATCAGTGCATCAGGGAGCACCTTGGAAACTCCACAGAAGTGGCCTACAAAAGGGCACCCAACAGCCTGATTGCACCAGATACAACCAGCTAAGTAAAATCTTTTTCTTGTTTTAATAGTGCGCATCTTGATCTCGTACCCTTCGGGACAGCATGGATGGACTTTGAGAATATTATGCTAAGCGAAATAAGCCAGGCAGAGAAAGACAAACATCACATGATCTCGCTTATATGTGGAATCTAAAGAACATAATAAAATGATGAACAAAATAGATTCAGTGACATAGAAGCGTGGATCAGACTGACAAATCTCGAATCTCGGAGGGAAGGTGGGGGTGGGTGGGTAGAGATTAACCAAAGAATTTATATGCATATGTGCATAACCCAAGGACACAGACAATAGTGTGGTGAAGGCCTGGGGTAGGGAGTGGATGTGGGATGGAAGGGGTCAGTGGGGAAAAAAGGGGACATCTGTAATACTTTCAACAATAAAGATAAATTTTAAAAAATGCTCTTCTTTCCCCCTGGCGGCAGAGCCTGAGAAGCAGTCATGGTCCTGACACCAAACCGCAGGTTGTTTTCTGACTGGACTGGCTGAGCGATGCCTAGTCAACGGAGTGACTGCCTATGAAATCTCGCCTCACACCCCCAGGGCGTCAGGAGAGCAGGGGTGCTGGCCTCTGAAAGTGGGGAATCAAGGTGGGCTCAGGGGAGGTACATAATGTGTGTGACGCCCAGTAGCCTGTGTGTGGAGGGTCACAAATTCAGAGCAGGGCCACCTGGCTCCAGACCCAGTGACATCTCCGCTGGACCACAGGGCCTCTGTAGGTGACAGCTAATGTGCCCACAGGCCTGGCCGCACACACACCTAGAATCATGGGGGTGGGGAGGGGTGTGGTGCATTTATTCCGTCTTCTCTAATTCAGAGGGACTGTCTTAGAGGTCACAGTTAGGAATCGCTTTTAATTTATCCGCATAACTTTGGAAACAAGGGCTGCTGGAATTGCCCAGGCCTTGGGCAACAGATTTAGAACAGATTCCTGTCATCAGGGTGAGCCTCGGAGCCACCCAAGCAGTCTCCTTCTGCAGAAACGGAGCAAGCACGCTCTCATTTTACATTTTTAAAAACCTTCATCTGAGGATATTTTTTTCATTGCTTTTCAGACAATAGTGGAAGGGAGAGAGACATATATATATATATATATATATA